AAATCCTTTGCTGCACCATTGTTGAGTGTTGAGTCTGTAGAATTTAAAGATTGTGATATTGAATGGAACAGATTAGTAGATGCTCTTCAGTTTCTTCCCAACTTAAGTTTGCTAGTCATTAAGTGCGATAACAACACGTTATCAAGAATGCAGCCACTGCATTTGAAGACAGACCACTCCCCCAAGTCCTTTCGTCTGAGGAATGTTGATATCACTTTGGATGAGAAGTTGATGCTCCTCCCACTTGTAGCGTTTCTGTTGGGAAATTCTCCGGTGCTTGACAAGATTGTGATCCGGCTGTCGGGCAGTAGTTCACATTCACTAGAATATTGCATTCTGGTGGCAGAGACATTGTTGAATATGCCGAGGTCCTCCCCAACTGCAACAATTTCCGTCTTCGATGGCTTTACTCAGTAGATTAATGCTTTTGGTAAAGCACGTTGAAGCTGCACTGGGGTAATGTTGTTGTTGTTGGTAAAGCGTGTTGTTGGTCATGTGTGGCTATATATGGTTTTCTTGGTCATGTGCATTAGTTCTCTCGATCCTTAGTTGTTGTTCTTGTTCTTGTTGTTTAGTTTGGGCAAGGATTGTGGTTCATCAAATTTACCAATAAAATAAATTATTCAAAGTTGAATCTACTTGCACTATAGGGTTTTGGTTAATGATTGAATATTCTTGGCAAAGAAAATGCCTTTTTTATTCTTAAATGCAACCTGAGTGGCAACTTTCTGTCTGCTCTTACTCCTGATGTAGGTATAGTGAGGCAGATCCGGGATTCATGTTGAATAGGGGCCAAAGTTTTTGTGTACTGAGTATGCATCTGTTATTTTGAATGCCTAGGATACAATTGATGATTCCATCATCCATGGCCACATTTGGTGCCATTAGCCTCTTTGGTTATTAAAGAAAAGGCTTTAATTAATTTCTCCAGAAGGGTTTCTTTTCCAGTTTCCCAGGCCCCAGCCCTCAGGTTATAACCTTAGTTTCAGAGTTCATTGGGAACTAATATCAATGTATATTGTTAGCTGATCACTAGTTCACTACTACCTGTTAACAAGATACACTTGAGGAATAGCATGATACTTGAATTGCATTCCTTATTGCTGTATGATAGAGACCTCAACCAAGGTTGTCAAAAGCGCTCGCCTCCGCGCCTAAGCGCACAAGGCGCAGCGAGCATACCCCCCAGCGCTTAGAAATAGGTGAAGCGCACGTACCTGGGTAAGGCGCAGCATAGGCGCATGAAGCGCTGCAAGTCCCACGCCTGGGTCACCTAGCTGGAAAAGGGCTGGCAGCCTTTTTTTGTTTAAAACTTTCAAATACAATTAGCCCATATCTTTAATAACACACCCATGAAAATATTTGGGTAAAAACTGTAAAACCTACATAAAACTAAGAGTCTATGTAAGTAAACACGTAAAACTTGCGCAAGACTGTTGCTATCATCGCTAGCCATCCTCACTCTCCTCACTCGACACTGAAGCTGCTCTACACCAGCCAGTTCTTTAAGCTTTCATCATCATCTCAAGCAAACTCAGCTCTCCCTCTCAGCACTAAACAACGTATATTTTCTTTTTCATGCAGTCCTCTTCATCCAAATACTCATATTACACTAGTGTCTAAATATTAGCGTAAATGTGTAATAAAGTAATAATACTACGTATTAGTATTTTTTTTAAGAAGATGATTTTATTGATTGAAAAGGGTACAATACAGTACAAGAAACAAGTGAAAAAAGAAGAAGAGAAAAAGAAGAAAATACAGCAAAGAAAAATTAAAAAGAGAAGAAACGTGAAACTAATTCCAAGGGAAATCTTTGGATTGAGACCTGGTCTTCATGTTGTGGCGATACTATGCATTACTCCCTCCGCCCCCCTAACTTTGTCCCGTTTTACCTTTTTCGTCCGTCCCATGAAGTTTGTCCCATACCATATTAGGTAATGTTTGAGTGGTTAGAATTCATTCCTACTTTATTTACACTTTATCAATTCAATATCAACCACACAATTCCACTTTTTCTTAAAAACAACACCACACCCCTTCGTCCCAAACTTAGGGGGACGGAGGTAGTAGTATATTAGTATGTATATAATACTCATATGTACTCTGCTTTGTGGTTTTGTAAAGATATTACTCTGTAATCTTTCAGAGTATATTAAGTTCTTAACTTTAAATACATTACTCAGTTCTGTCACTCTTGTGTTTTATAAAGATTAAAGATATTACTCTGTTTGACCCAACTAGAGTAAAAACATGGCTGTTAACAAAGAGCTGAGTATAACATGTTTTTCAAAGTTGATAACCACCCTTTACAACACGCAAGATGACAAACACAGATGGAAAACTAAAAGAACATGATAAACACACAACCAGCTTTGTGTTTTTCCATTATTTAGCAGCCATATTTGAGTGTTTGGCCCATAAATATATTATATATGTACTCTACTTTGTGGTTTTCCAAAGATGTTTTCCAGTGTATCAATTACTACCTCCGTCCCAGGGACAAGTTCCCAATTTCCTTTTTTGGCAGTCCCAACAAGAAGTTCTCATTTCCCTAAATGGAAAGTTATTCTACATCAAAACAGTGCGAAACAGTGCAAAACAGTGCAAAACAGTGTCGAAACAGTGCCGAACAGTGTCGAAACAGTGCCAAACAGTCAAATTTACCCCCCAGTAACTTTATTTCCTTAATATGTGTGAAAGTCAACCCGAGAACTTCTCCCTGGGACGGAGGGAGTATTAAATAATTCTAGCTTTGTGCTTTTCCAGGATATGGAAGGTGGAACAAGTGCTGCAGGAAAGCGAAAACTCTACAAAAAAGACCCAACTTGGAAACACAGCTACTTGGCTAACACAAAATATCCTAATTTTTGTGAATCATGACTTTATTTTGATGAATCCTAGCTTTTTTTTTTGCATTTGGTTCAATATGATGTTACATACATCATATTTGGTAATTATAGAATAGTATATGTGATTTTATCTACACCCGAGTCAAGCGAGCGCTTTTTTGCGCCTTGCGCCTCAGGCGCTGGGAATACCCTATCACCTTGATTGCGCTTCACGACTTTGATTACCTTGACTTCAACAATACAGTAGAAAATCAGTAGATTATTGATGAAGTTTTTAGAATCGAACAGGATTACAAGGGGCATAGACAGGACAGGAAGAAAGAGAGAAGAACGGACACTGTTGAGACACTTCAAGTAAATAATACCAGGCCAGAACCCCCCCCCCCCTAAAACATGATAACAACTATGTAAACATTATTCCATTATTCTTATTATTATTCTCTTTAGCCTAGGATCCTATCATATCTCCCCCTTAGACAACCACCTTGTCCTCGAGGTGGGTGATAGGAAACAGGCCTTCACCTTCAACTTCATCTTCATCCTGGCACCTCTTCCTTCCCATTACCTCTCTGATTGCTTATCAACTCTCAGACATATGTCCTCGTCTTTTTCATTGCTTGGATCCTCGCACTTTGATCCGTTTCTTTCCAGATCAACCTCTCCCAATAACTTGGTCAGTGCCATTAATGCGTCCTGGGTCAGAGTTGATACCTCACCCGGAGGTGAAACTCTTGAGATACATCGATCACTGTCCACTAGCAAATACCAGTATTCACTCACTTGGTATGCATTTTCATCTCCCAAGTTCCTGATAGTTTTTCCACAACTTTGTTTACCTTATCTGCTGCTTGTTCTCAAAAATATTGCTTCTTGATGGAACCCCCTTGCTCCTCATTGAACGCAGATGTAAAGGGAATGAGAAGCACAATTTTTTGGCTCTTATGCTGATAAGAACCCATCTTTCCCTTTCGACCACTTGTCAAGCTGTAAGGTCCTCACAACATGATAACTGCATTGAGAACTATTGTATAAGGAGGCGGTCTGCTGATCGTGTATAGAAGTAGAGCTTTCCCACCAACCTACAGAGTTATTAGATGTAGCATTTCCTTTACTTATGTAGGACCAAGAGTTCAGGCCAGAAGACACAGCATCTAGAATCTGCATCAAGCCAGCATAGGTAAAATTCTTCACCAAGTCATCATTAGGAAGTGTTGTTTACACCAGCAGGTCCTGGAACATGATCAAAGGTTAGCAATTCCTGTTCTTAGCGCCAGATTCCAACACCCTGACAAGAGACTGAACTTCAAGAGCGACCTCCAACCCAATAGTCAACCTATGTAAAGAACCAAGATCATTCACCTCCTTTTGCAAAAGCTGGAACTGAACTTTCTCAATCACTAACTGCTCATGCTTCAATTCACCAAAACAAATTGCTGCCAATGCTTTAGCAAGTTTAATTTTGCCAACTCCAGTAGGACATAAGGGCATAGCAGCAATGTGACTCATTAGAAGTATTCTCTTATCAACCCTCGGCTGTTCAAGGAATTTGCCTGACCAAAATGAAGCTATAGAAGTTCTTTCCTCATGTCCAACCACACAAAATTCATCATCTCTAGCTGCTGAATTTATAGAATGTTCAGTTTGGACTTTATCATCCCCTTCCAAGTGAAATTCATAGTTAGTTTTGCTGAGTTTCTTTTTCATAATCATTTCAGGCATTGTCCGCACAGATCTAATTTCTTGCCAGTGTTCACTTGGTGATTTTGTAAGTACGGAAATAAGCAGTCGCTTTTTCCTTTTAGGAGCTTCCATTTGTGATCTGCTCCCCACCACACCAATAGGATCAATGGTTTCGTCCAGAAGATATCTATAAGGAATGCATCTAGCTGAAAGTTGCAAAACTGCTGTTATGGCCTAATAGTTCTGAGACTCATATTTCTGAGACTCGTATTTCTCATGCAACCCTAGTAGTATCTGGACAACATCCTCCTGGTTCGGTTCATGAATCATTTTAGGCTGAAATCCAAGCATTGGCTTTAACATATTAGCAAGTCCAGTACCCTTACTTCCTCTTCCATCCGGGTTTGAGCTGATGATTCCCTGAAGCTTCTTTCCATCATTCCCCTCTTCTATTTCCTCAGTTTCCTCTATAAGGACAGTCCTTGTAGAACTTTCCCATGCATATGCATGGTAATGCATCTGATTTACAAATGGCAGAAACGCCAAAGCTGTCGCTGGATCAATAATGGAGATTAGAATGGCAATTGAATGATAAGTGACTGCAATCCACAAATTTTTTGACTTCATCTAGAGCTGCGTATCTATGTTCCAGTAACATGACAGGTTTAGATTCTTCTAGCTGCTGTAGTACATCGCCTTTTCCTTTATGTGGTAATTTCTTTGAATGTTGTTTCCAACTTGATTCAAATGCACAAGCTGCAAAAGAATTGAAAAGAGAAAATAAGTACTGAGAGAGTACAAAACCACACCAGGAACAGAACATAGAGAAAGGTTTGAGGATTATTCCTGCTATAGGCAATAATGCTGGATATCGGTTTTCTCACGCTTCAGGTTTGAAAAATATGTTGATGTATAAGAGTATCTTCTACGAGTGGAAGGAAAATGAGAGTTGAGTGTCAATTTTATTCAGCGATTTGAAGAAAGAAACGCAAACACGTCTCTGCAAGCTTTGTCATAAAAACTGAAAGTGCACAAAAGCTCACAATCATAAATGATTAAAATCAAGAGAACATAAAAATCTTTAAAACAATCAATGCTTCAAATGCTAAGTTATTACTACTCTTGCATCATAAAGTGCCACGATCTGGGAAGCAAAGCCAATCTCTTTGCAATATGTTTCAATCATTTTTAAACAAGAGAACACACAACTTCCATATATGTGCTGATCTCTTAGCGGGTTGGAAAGTGCGTGTAAACATGACGAGGAATGTCTTTGATCTCTCTAAGTCGATTTACATGTGGTCATAGTCCTGGACCCCCTGGCAGCTTATCAATGTTTATAAATGATCATGCTTCCAATCCAGCCATCCATTATTCTATGAAACTACTGCAATTCATAACTAAGAGCAAGACTACATAAAGAGAATTAATGAAACTAATCATTGACATGAAAAGTAAATATTGCTCCTCCAAAGCTTAAGGGGGACAAAACTCCCCTTTCATACTCAACCTCTAGTGTTGCGTATAAGATTCCGCCCACACACTGTGGCTGGCCACGAGGAGTGTGAATTATAATACGGAGTAGAATAGTTTAACAATATGCTTTGGAATATTTTAGGAATATACTCTAGCATCTGTGGTCAATGCTCCACAAGTACAAGCAAAAACTGGTTTTTAAGAAGATAACTCCTTCAATATGATCTTGACTTCAGTAAACTAATTAGTCTAACAGAACTGAATTCTTGAGTAGTACCCATCAGTTCTTTTTGTAAGTTAAAAAATCCTTACACCATGTTTCGGTTAAAATCTATCTTTTCGTAAGTTGGAATGGTCTATTTGGAAATGGCATTGTAGGACCATCTACCGGAGGTTTCGGAATGGATCCATCAATAAAACCAGTCTTGTTCTTGACTGAAACTCTGAAAGGGCTAACCTCCATCGCACGAGTCCATGTGTATCATTTTCATTTTCATTCACCCCAGTGCCGCAAAGGCTCCCACCTACGGTGGGGTAAGGGGGGGGTCGGATGTACGCAGTCTTACCCTTGTACAAAAGCACAGAAAGACTGTTTCCGGATGACCCATAGTGAAAATCGCATCCAAAATTGCATGGACTAACTGCTGCTTCATAACAAAGAAGCGCAGACAGTTCAGTGAGCCATTTTGCTTTATTCCATCATATTCTCAAGCCAAAAAATAATGAATCTTTGGCTCCATTGCAAATGATGGAAAGACGAGTCCATGTGTATATGATAGTTTAATCCATTGAGTGGTTGATTAACAAAGTAAAATGTGATCCATCAGATTGATGGAGAAATAAAGGGCTTGGGGTGTATTCCTTCACGAGAGCAAAAAAATGAGTATAAATTGAAAGGGAGAAGATATAGCAGAGGTGCTTATTGATGTTAGCAGAGAATAGAATATGAAACTGAATTGGGATATTAAGAGAATTTGAATAAAAATACAAGCCATGGACCATGGTTTAAAAAGGCGCTAAGTGCTCAATGTGAGGCGCACATATCAAGTATTGAGGCTTAGGTTATTTTTTGCACGATGAGAAGCTTACACCTCAAAAGTCAGGGCTTACGCCTCTAGGCACTTTTTGAGGCAGGTTTTTCAACATTTCTCTTTACTTTGGTTGTAACTTAAAAAGGCCCAGTGATTCTTTTTAACATGTGTCCACATATACTTTCTAAACCCTAACAAGTCTGGAAAGTGGAACATCTTTAAAATATTCACACTCCAGCAAAATGACAAGAATTGGAAGATTTTGAAGGTGATGATAGAAGGGATGGTGGTGACAAGGCTATAAGATATGGTGATTAAGCTTCCACATTTCTAAATTTTGTCATCTGTGTGATGAGTTTGTTTGTGTGTTTGAATTCTCATTTTGAATTGTCATGTTTGATGATGTGATCATATAAGGTGTTCTGTGGACTTGCAATTATGCATATCTTTTTTTTTTTTTTTTTTGTAAATTAACTATTTTAAGTTTTATTTGTTGGTTGAATTTGATGGTCACGCCTCGCCTCTCCACAATAAACTGCCTCGATACCCAAAACAGCCTTTCTAAACCTTGGGAACAACTTCATTGCCTGATGCTAACAATCTAACCATAGATATTCTTTTGCCTCTTTTGGAGCTTGCAGATTTGACATAAAAAGCACCAAAGTTGAATAAGAATTCTGCTTAAATTTCACTTACTAGTCTAATTTGATGTTTCAATTCATTTCTTTTCTTGAATTTACTTGTGTTAGTGAGAATCTATGTTGCTAGATTATTTGGATGGCCAGAAATGTGACAGTTGACAGTTGGCCACAATCTAGAACTTAGCTGTTTGTTGTTGTTTGATGCTTAAAATAAATGAGTTGAATTAGCTAATCCCTCTCTTGGGAAGGAGTGAAGGACTTCGGAAAGGAGATTGGATTAGTTGAGCATTAGACACTAGGGGTTGGGTGTTTCCCCAGAAATTGGGGTAGGTTAGACTCAATACATAGAGCCTGTTTGGTAGCACCAAAATTGGCTGTTTTGGTTGATTCTGCTGAAATTTATGATATTCTGGCTGGAGTGGCTGTTTTGGCTGATTTAAGAAAAAAATATTTTAAAAATATATTTTATTAATAAATTAAAGAAAAAATTATATGTAAAAATAGCTAAAATGGTCCTCTACAGTAACTTCAGCCAATACAGCCAGAAAAGTAACTCCAACCTTACTTTTTCGGCTTATTACACAATTCAGCGCGCGAAAGTAAAAGTTACGTGTTTGGTGAAAAAGCTGGCTGATAAGCCGAAAACAGAGTTCTCCAAACGGGCTCTTAGTTTTTTTTACCTTCTATAGGGAGCTAATTTTGAAGACATTAAGATAAAGAACATTGATAGGAGAAACATCCATGCATCACATCCAAAAAAAGGAGCTAGAGAGTAGTGACTAGTGACCCTAGTACAGTGTTTCCCTTTCGATATCAACCTAAGCAGTCATATCAATTCACTTGTTTAGTTCAGTTGTTGCTTGCTTTAGTGATTGCACAAGTTTTTTTGTGTTGCCAATGTTTTATTCTTTTTCTAGCTTCATGTCAACTTTGCCTATACTAGTGTTCAATATCCTTAATGCATTGCCTCCATAGCTTGGAAATACATGTGGATCGAAAGCACAAAACGTCCCACGCATTACCATTACAGAAAAAACCGATCTTTAAGGCCATAGTTAATTTAAAGAGCAATACAAAAAAAAAAACTCTGAATAAGTACCTTCACTTCTGTCCTTAAATCCTTGAATAAGGTATGCACATACCCACGGCCTTCCGGCACGGGATGCTTTTGCGCCTCCTTTAAGCTCACCGTTATGTTGCTTTAAACTATAAAATGTAAGAATTACTAAATTAGGAAATAAAAGTGACCCAAATTTATAAACAACAGTGTAAATATATTTCAAAAATAACTGTAAATACTTGTAACCGGAAATGTGAAGGAAATATATAGTTCTATGAAATTATTCAAATGGGTCTATGTCTGGTATTTTTCCAGGCACTACCAGTAGGGGTGGGCACGGTCCGGTCCAATATTTGGCCGAACCCGTACCCGTACCGTTACTATTGAAACGGTTCGGTACGGTTCGGTCTTAGACCCAAACCCGTTCGGTACGGTTCATTTTCAAACGAGACGGTACCATGCCATACCAATACCAAACAATGCCACTTTTTCCAGGTGTTTAAGAAAAAAATTAAAGTTTAGCCATCTTCCAAAAAATCCACACAATTTATCAATTTTCATATATCATACTACCTTCGTTCCAAATTGATTTGCAAAGTCAATCTTTTTTGGTCAAACAATTTCTTTTATTCACTTAATTAGAATTTTACTTTTTAATTATATTCTAATTTGACCTTTCAAAAAACTACTCCGTACTTCGTATATTTTAATTTGGATTTTGCAACTTTAGAGAGATTTTAATGTGGTTTCTAAATATGTAAATTTTAATTATTTAAAAATTGTATTAATTATCAAGAACTTAACATTAACTTTGACAAAACAATGTTGGCTTTGCAAATCAATTTGGGACGGATGAGGTAATTAATACGGAGTATATTTTAGATAAACTATAGTAGTACAAATTTAATAAACCATACTTCGGTCCGGTTCGGTCCGGTACCGGTTCTCATTTTATGAGAACCGGTCATGGCATTGTTTGGAACCGGTTCGGTCCAGTTCGGGACAAAAAACTTTGAGATCCGTTTCAAACCCCGTTTATCGGTCCGGTACCATACCGGTCCGGTTCGGTATCATGCCGGTTCGGTATTTTTGCCCACCCCTAACTACCAGATTGTACTTTTGATAACATGACACTACCTAGAGGGGTATCTTAGATTATCACCTGTCATCCTTAACGTATACTCATACCTTCCCTTTTTACTCTTCCAATTCCATAAGCATGTACCAAGTCAATATTTCCCTTGGCATAAAACATGTACTCCATATTTGTCCTTATCACTGCTACGCCGTTACCTCACCCAATCCATTAAATGAGTGGTCTTAAGCCTTTTAATTAAAAAAATACTTCCTCCCAGGTTTTCCTCTTTTCAATTTCTAATGGGTGGGAGAATAAAATTGATACACAATATTTAACTATAACTAGGTTGTATACGAATCAAATAATTTATGCTCGATTCGGGATTCGAATTCGTATAAGACGATTCGAATTCTAAAAATTCAAATACAAATACAAATAAGAATACTAAATTTGATTCGAAATGTTATCAAATACAAATACGAATATTAGTATATTCGATTCGAATGTTAATCAAATATATTCGATTAAGAATAGTGATAATATTAATAATAATAATAATAGTAATACTAAACTGTAATAGCAATAATAGTAGTACTAACACTATAATAACTTTTAAAAGCGAGCTATACCTTCAAAGTGTAGCCCATAATATATGTATACATATTTCAAGCCAATTTGTAATAAAACAGAAGTATCATGAGGGTTATAAATGAAACATTTTTTTTAATTCAATTCATGATATCGATTCATAAAGCAAAATGTAATGTTCCAAAATTCACTTTAGTATATTGTACACAACCTAAAAATACATCCTATCGATCCACTAAATTTTAAAGCAAAATGTAGTGTTCCAATTAAATTCTAAAACACATATTAAGTCATCGCATGCATTCATAACATAAAAAATATGGAAAAATTATTTTAAAGTGATATTTGACTAATATTAAACTTATAATCAAATCGATTCGATATTCGTATATGATTCGTTAACTATTCGTATTGTTAGACAAATACAAATACAAATTGAAAATAATACGGAGTATTCGTTTCACATTCGAATTCGTATTCGGAAAAATTAAACAAATACAAATACAAAATCACAGTATTCGACTCGATTCGGTTCGTATAGAACCCTAAACTATAGGCATTACTTCATCTGATCAAGTTCCACCAAATGATTAAATAGTTTAGATCAAAATTCAATTTTTAATGATTCACTAGATTTGAGGAGACTCATTTGTGTTGTTAATCTAAGTTCATTCAGTTGAATCATTTACCTCGATTTAATTTTGTTTGACATTAACCCTAATAAAGGTAAAGTAAAAACCATCTGGCTAGAGCCAATTATCCATTATTTGAATCCAAAAGCAAGGCTTTGAAAGAAGATCATATTGCTCTCTGGAGCTCAACACGTTCTGATGCAATCCAAAAAAATAATCTTGTAGGAGAAATAGTCTATATGTAGGATTATTTTTCGTATTGGATCTTAACACCTAACGTATAAACTCGACATGTAAGTCAAGATTGGCTAAGTTTTCTGGGGCAGAGTACAATACGCATGATTACAACTTTCCAAGCACAATTGAAGAACTTATGGGTAGCTTTGGAAAAAGGAGAAAAGTACCGGCGAGTGAAATTAGTTGTGACTCCGACGTAAGTTTTGATAGGCGGGTTGGTGGAGAGGATCAAGTACACCGACCACCGCGACTTTGATTTGGGTGCAGAGCTAGATGGAGACGAAAGTGACGAAGGAGGCCGTAATGAATCGATCTGTAAGGATTCTGAAGGCGGCGATGATGAAGGAAATTTGAGTTTGGTGACAGGACGAATGGGCTTCACGGATCGGAAGGTGCTTGATAAGAGCTTCGTCATTGATCCTCAACCCCCAGCTTGCTATCTCTTACCCGACAAATAATAAATTTGATACAATCTCGAAAATATTGACCGTTCAAATCCGGTCGGTCAGTGCTTTCATTTCGCAAAAACTTTCATTACAAGATGTACAGAAGGTGTAACAGCATCTAAATGCTGGAAACAGATTTCTTCACAACAGCCGTATGTTCTTCAAGTTCCGGTCATACTTTTTGGAATTACAATTAAATGGAGTAATCTAGGACGATTCGGGATTTGTTTCGGTTTGTTTTTAAGAGGCTAAAGCACAATGAAAATCAGAATTAATTTTGTAAAAGGCTAAAATATGTTTGGCTAAAGGGTCAAATAGGTCCATGTATCTTTCTGGATTGCTCAATTTGTCCCCTAAACCTAAAAAAGCTCTAATTAGCACCCTGAACTCGATAAAAAGATTCAAATTTCACTTTTAGCAGGCCACAAGCCGGTCATCGCCACGTCATCCGGTAGGGTGTCAGCTATGCATGTGACATGACAACTTAGGAGGTCAAATAAGGCAATAAGCCCCTGAAGCCGACCGAATCGTTCAATTTACCCCCTCAACCCTAAAAATGTCAAATTTTAAAAATAAAAATAAAATAAAATAAAATAAAATAAAAATAATAAATAAATAATAAATATAAAATAAAATTATAAATAAAATACATGTCTAAAATATAAGATATATTAATATGAAATATTCATCGTTCACAGCTTATTCAAAATAAAAGTAAAATATAAACTAAAAAAATCTTAAGTTTATTTCCATATTTTATAACTACTACGTACATTTCATATAAGAAATAAACAATGTAACGTTACCAACTATATTTAACTTTTTATTTTATGTATTATATCTAATGGTTTGTAATTTTTCAGGTGGAGAAGACCAGGAGTCCGACTCCTCGAGGGATCTTCTCTTAGGTCACACTTCGGAAAACACCCGTAGTTTCCAACTACCTAGTATAGCTCGTTGGTTGGCAGGTTAAAACTTAAACTAATTGGCGTGAGTTCGAATCTTGGAGGCGATGTATTTTTCGGGTTTTCTTCATTTTCCGATTCTTGAATGGTTCGGGTCCGTCCGGGTTCAAGGCGGGTCAACGGGTTATTCCGGTTTTGACCATAATTGCGGGTTGCTACTCAACCGGAACGGACAGATGTCCGGTTGACCGGGTTCCGGGTCAAACCGGCCGGTCCGGTTCGGGTCTTACAACACAGAAATAAGCCCCTGAAGCCGACCGAATCGTTCAATTTACCCCCTCAACCCTAAAAATGTCAAATTTTAAAAATAAAAATAAAATAAAATAAAATAAAATAAAATAAAATAAAAATAATAAATAAATAATAAATATAAAATAAAATTATAAATAAAATACATGTCTAAAATATAAGATATATTAATATAAAATATTCATCGTTCACAGTTAATTCAAATTAAAAGTAAAATATAAACTAAAAAAATCTTAAGTTTATTTCCATATTTTATAACTACTACCTCCGTCACAGGGAGAAGTTCCCAATTTCCTTTTTTGGCAATCCCAACAAAAAGTTCCCATTTTCCTAAATGGAAAGTTATCCTACATAAAAACAGTGTCAAACAGTGCAAAACAATGCCAAACAGTGTTGAAACAGTGCCAAACAGTGTCGAAACAGTGACAAACAGTAAAATTTACCCCCCAGTAACTTTATTTCCTTAATATGTGTGAAAGTCAACCCGGGAACTTCTCCCTGGGACGGAGGGAGTACTACATATATTTCATATAAGAAATAAACAATGTAACATTACCAACTATATTTAACTTTTTATTTTATGTATTATATCTAATGGTTTGTAATTTTTCAGGTGGAGAAGACCAGGAGTCTGACTCCTCGAGGGATCTTCTCTTAGGTCACACTTCAGACAATGAAAAGCGGACTCCTTTATCTATGGTGGAAGATCTATGGGATTTTGACACCAATCTGGATATTTGCAATAAGGCATTGCATGTGACGAGAGATAACTGTCTGCCTACAAGAGGAATCAACGTTCACATCGTATGAGAACACAGTCTCAAACTCTCACAGAGCGGTGATGCTTTTCAATAAGGGCTTAGGGAGAAAGGGTTTCCTTTGATGGGGATGGATTAGGGAGAAAGAGGTTCCTTTGATAGGGCTTCCAAATACTTTATCTGTTTGTTGTTTTCCTTTTATTTCTTTCCTTTTTTCCTTCTTTTGTCTTTTACTCTTTACTGTCCTCTTTTCTTTAATAAATGTTTCCTTTCTTCAAAAAAAATCTAATGGTTTGTAATATAACACAAATTTTTAGGTTTTTGGTTTGATAATTTATATGAAGCATTATGTTTAAATTATCCATTTGTATTTTTTTGTTTCATACTATGTATTTCTTAATTTATTTAAAAATATACTAAAAATAAATATACAATTCTTATGTAACTATTTTTATTCAAAGTTATCGATTACACTTTTTTATATGTGTAGTAACATAAAAATTAAAATATAAAAATAGTAACTACAAATAGTAACTACACTTTTTTACGTATTATATGTAATTATTAATTTCATGTTGTTTATATTTTATTTCTTTATTTTGAATTTACCAAAAAATATAAAAATATTTATATTTATATTTTTGACTTATTTTTTATTCTATTTTTTATTTTCTTTTTTCCTTTTTGTTTCTATTTTTCGTAATTTTGACATTTTTTAAGGGTTGAGGGGGTAAATTGAACGATTTGGTCGGGTTCAGGGGCTTATTTGACCCCCTAAGTTGCCACGTCACATGCACAGTTGGCACCCTACCGGGTGACGTGGCGATGACCGGCTTATGACCTGCTCAAAGTGAAATTTGAATCTTTTTATCAAGTTCATGGTGCTAGTTGGAGCTTTTTTGGGTTCAGAGAGCAAATTGAGCAATCCGGAAAGGTACAAGGACCTATTTGACCCTTTAGCCAATATGTTTTTCATCCTGTAAATATGAGGTGTTTTGGTTTAGGTCTCTGCAAAATAAAAATAAAAATGAATTTCATTCTTGCAATTTGCACAGTTATCTTTTTTAGTCCCAACCCATAACATCCGTTAAAAAACCTGAAGTGGCCATTAAACCTCCCTACTGGCTTATCCCATGTCAGCGCACTCATCCTACCCGTTTCCTCATCATTGTACACTCAATCGCAAATTATACCGTGGGATCCGCACATCATTGGTGTGCCGATCCCAAAACGACATAGTTTTTAATTAGAAAATAGATCGCCGACCGTAACAACAACGCAAACAGGAGAGCAAATAGGTCATGGAAAAAGAAGAGCTGATCTCTGTGATTAGAAAGCAACGTGGTGATTGCAGATTGGTCGAAGGAGAAACGTGATCTCCTTGGTGTGTTGTATTCTGGAGTCAAGCCTTTGCCCCCATCTTTATTTGACAGATTAGAACTTAAGGCAACGGTAATGGTGTTTGCTGGCCAAGCATAATGAATATTAGAGTTGATTAAGAATCTTCATTTATATATATATATATATATATATATATATATATATATATATATATATATATATATATATATATATATATATATATATATATATATATATATATATATATATTATACAGTATAGACAATTTATATTTTGATTTGATCAAATTACATTTAAAAGTACACGCAGTTACATCAGAATTTGACTAATGTTACATATTTATTAATGTGGGTTACATATCAGCTTTCCTCAGCAAATTACATCCTACTTACACACGATTTACATTTTACATAACGCGAGTTACACCGCAATATAATGGGAGTTACACAACATAATAAGCCCTTGTTATTAAAAAAATCATTTTCATAAAAAAATCTTTTTTTATAGCACTGCTATTAAAAACAAAACATATACTCTATTTATGTAAAAAAAATTAGGAAATTAGACTCTTTTTTCATTGAAATTAATATTTTATTTTTTATATTATGTATTGGACAAGTTACACTTTGACTAGACTTAAGTTGCATTCATCAATAACGTGAGTTACATTTTTTTACACGTGAGTTACATCATTGTGCTACTGGAACAAAGAAAACAAAAAGTACTGTTCACGCGTGTACTGTTCACGCGTGTACTGTTCACGCGAATTTTTCTTTTTAATAATTAAAACTGCGTCGTTTTTTAATGTGGAGCACGGTGCTCACCGTGGGATGATCCCACGGTATAATTATATCATTAATTTATCTTTAATAATTAATAATTAATTAGGGTTAAATAGATCAATTAAGGATGTTTTCTTTTGGACTGTTTTCAGTCCCAGACCAAACCAAATCATACCAAACCAGACCATACCATACCAGACTTTCGTAGTTATAAAATACACCGAGACCAGACGTTTACTAGACTAGACTAGACCAATTCAGACCAGATCAGACCAGACCAGACAAGACCAGATCAGACCATCAAATTTCAGTACAAAAGAAAACATCCTAAATTCACAGCTCTCTCCATCTCTGTTCTATAGGCGATCAACTTTCCTTCTTCCCAACTTCTCTTCTCCCCGGCAATTTTTCTCCTTCGTTGGGCTTTCTCTTATCAGGTATGGATTTACGTTAGTTAATACGTAGTATACTTTTCTTGGTTGGTGAATATGTGTGAAATCGTTTGCTTCCCTTTCTCCAGTAACTTTTAAAATTGACGCTTGCTTTGATTCTAAGTTCGTGACTAGTCGATCTTCACCAATCATGATGAGTTATTTAAAATCAATTTCTATTATGCATCTCAATCAATCCAATTTATTTCCTTTACGTAAAACTATAACTACTTGCCGCAGATGAACTAGAGCAGTATGGTCTGCCTTATATTATGTAATGGTGTTCCTAATGCTTCAAATTTAAAAAAATTGTACTTCGTATTGATCTATGAACATGTTACATAAGCATGAAATTTACTTATTGGTGCCTAATTTCCGTATTTGACATGTTTGTAAGGATGAGTTTTGAAGTGATCTTTCACCATGGGGGTAAATTTCTGCGTGAAGGGTTTCCAATACCCTGAAAAAAAATCGACATTGATAGGTGGAGTTACTTTGAGGCAATCGGGGTAGTGAATGAAATAGGACACGATCATGATGTTCTATTGTAGTGGAGAAGTGATGATGCTTATAAAACGTTCAGGTGTAACAATGACGCTACAAATATTTCTGCTTTTGCTTTGAAAAATGAGCGTCGAGTTCATATTTATGTTAAATCTGCTATTTCGAACGAAGACCATGATGAGACGTCTTTATGCTAATTTTAAGAAAAAGTTTGGAGGAGGAACTGATATAAGAGATTTGATGATGTCTGCTGTGAAATCAACTTATAATAGAGGTTGGGAAGAGAAAATGGAAGCTATAAAACAGTTAGATAGCAAAGCATGAGAGCGTTTGATGAGTATCCCAACAAAATTGTGGTGCAAGCATGTTTTCTTCCTTTCCTAAATATAATGTGATGTTTTGATGAACAACCTTTCGGAAGCTTTTAATAGTACTATAATGGTTGCTAGAGACAAACCAATTGTGACCATGTGTGAGTGGATAAGGACATACTTGATGAGTAGAATAGCTACATTAAGAAGTAAGTTGAATATGTGGCAGCATAGAGTAATGCTGAAACCTAAAAAAAGATTAGATAGAGAGATAGAACATGGTGGAAATTTGCAGCCAACATGGGCAACAGATAGAACATTTGAAGTGGAGCATACTCAATTTGTTCATAGGTTTGTCGTTGATTTACAAAAACGCACGTGTACCTACAACTATTGGCAATTAATAGGAATACCTTGTAGACATGCTGTTGCTGGAATGTCTTATAGGGGTCTAGGGATACAACCCGGAGAATGATGTTAATCAGTGTTACACACGGAATGTGTATGAATTATGCTATAGTTATGGTATAAGTCCTAGTAACGGACAATCTATGTGGCCAAATGTTGAGTGTGAGGATATGCTCACTCCCCGATATAAGAGGGGACCTGGAAGGCCAAAGAAACTGAGGAGGAGAGGACCTGATGAGGATGAAAATTCTCCGAAGTTGAAGAGGGTCAATACCCAATACAGATGCACAAAGTGTGATAAGTTAGGACACAATTCGAGAGGTTGTAAAACTACAACTGTGAACTTAGCTGCCCATCCAAGCAAGAAAGGTAAATCACTCTACATTTAGTTTAACAATTTCAATTCTATAAATATTAATTACATTTTGATTGATAGAGAGAAAGCCAAAAAAGGAACCATTGTTGACGGTGTGATTGGTGTCGGGGAAATGTCAAATGCATGAGCCATATATGTCAAATTGGTGTGACTAGCAAGCTGTGGATACAAAAAGAAAGGATGTGAAACAATATTAATTATATTTGCACGCATGAAAATATATTTTAAAGCTAATTAATAAACATGTGAAGTGATAGGGATGTGGAAAATTTTCATTTAGTTGACGTGAAAATTAAAAATGCAAAAAAGGACGAAATTAAAAATGCAAAAAAAGGACGTCAAACAATACTCATTACATTTGCAGGGATGAAAAGCTATTCTAACGATAATTTGAAAACGTGTGAAACGATGTGGATTAAATGAAATTAAACATTCGTGTAAGTTGACGTGGAAAGACACGTCATCACTTTTAACGGAGTTAAATGATCAAGAATAAAAAAAGGGTGAGAACTCCAGTACATACTCATTTAATAAATGGGGTACTGTACCTTTCATTCTCTTGATTGGTCCAAGTAGGTATATCATTTTTAATTTAGAGGTAAATAATTCAACTGCATGATTCTGATTGGTCCATGTGGATAAAGGTACGGTACCTTATGGGTACCGTAGAATCTACCAAAAAAGATAACTATGCAAATTATAGGGATGAAAATGATTTTTTGTTTTTATTTTGCAGGGACCTAAAATAAAACACCTTAGATTTGCAGGGATGAAAAACATATTTTAGCCTTTTTTTTAAATTGGTTTCTTCCGCTTCTAAAAAATTATTTTTAAGAATGTAATTTGGAGAATTCAAAAATATATTTGCAATTTCACTCAAACACTCGAATATATACTTCTGCATGCTGAAGGAGAAGAAGTAGATACAAACACCCCTTTAATGAAGAGAAAAATTATATGTATACATTTTTTGTGCACATCAGTACACATGTCTGTGGATAACTTATTCGTAGGACTAAATATGTTGAGAGACCTGTTTTATTTATTAGACAAAAGATGTTCACTGACATGTTTTATACTTTTATCTGTGAACAAGCTATTCAAAGAAAAAATACCATATTCACAGAAACGTAGACAAAAAGTGTGTACAACATGTAGGGCTGTAATTTAGTACTACATTCGTCCTATTTTATGTGTCCTACTTTAGTTTGACACAAGTATTAATAAATTGGTTGAAAAAGTAAAAGTTGTGGTTAAGATTTGGGTATAATAAAGTGAAATGTTATAGACACGTATTTCTTTTCAATAATGAAAATGTAGGGGTGGGCGTGGTCCAGAACAGTCCGGTAAATTAGGCAACCTGTAATGTACCCGTGAGATTTTTAACGGTCCGGTACGGTCCGATTTCAAGGATGGAACCGTTCGATATCATGTCGTTTTGGAACGGTACAAAACGGTACGGTACAATGTCAAACACATACATGTTAAAAAATTTGATCAAATCTTGCAATTAGTAGATATCATCACACCAACCAACTCACATGAAATGATATAAATACAAGAAATTGCACATATAGGACTAAAATTCACAAATAAACAAATAGTGCAACACAACTAAGAAAGAGTATAACAAAACGATGATGCACGAGATAAATATCATTCTTAATTTACTTAGTTCATATGAAAATTTAATATAAAAAAGAATATCATCAAATTGTTGAATATAATAGAAATCTTCAACGCTCTTCTTCTTCATTCTAGGTTAAATATTACTCCGTAGTTCTAACATAATTTATAGTTGAACCTTGAGATCTAAGATTTAAACCATATTAATTAAGTTGTAAAATTGCACAAACATGATACAACAAAAGTCATGTACGTTAACATTACTAGAAATGAAGTCATTATTGATTTCTCTAAAATTGTAATATTCTTTCAATACATACCAAAATATAACATAAATTATCTAAAAAGAAAAAATAACAATATATATTATATATATAATCACACACATTTAACTATTTTTAGAACGCATAAATACATACTTGTGCTATAAAATTGTTGGTTTATAAAAGAGATCTATTGAATTGGTATAGAAAACATATAAAAAATTCAAGTGCATCATTTTCAAACGGTCCGGTCCAGTATTTTCTCTTCACAAAATCTAGGACCGGTCCCGTATCCGTTTCAAACGGTACGGTTTTGGTACATGACAAAAATATATAGAACCGTTTAAATACCCAATATTCGGTTCAATACCATTACGGGATGGTTCAGTACCGGTTTGGTTCGGGTTTTATGCCCACCCATAGAAAATGTGACACTTATTTTTGGGATAACCCAGAAAGGAAAGTAAGATGGGTAAAGCAGAACGGAGGAAGTACTCATATGTTCCATTCAATACACATTGCCTTTTTCTTTGTATCAAAGTTTTTACTTTTAATGTCCCATCAGTATCTTTCAAAATGAATTTTACATGAGAATTAAGATAGTGAAAATTGTATAATGGAGAATTGTGCAAATGAGAGAGGAATGTGTAAGAAATATGTAATAAATGTTGTGCACCACAAATTTTTTGCAACAAAAAGAAAAAAAAAGATTATTTTAGGAGAAAAGAAAAAAGAAATTTGGAAGATAGTTCAAGGATAGAGGGAGTATTACTTTACGAAAATTGATTCTGCTTATTTCTTTGTTATGCACAATTTTTTATTTTTCTTATTTTACACTTAACACAAACTTAAAAAGTCCAATGAAACATAGTTAATACAGAATTCATAGAATAGTACAATATAAACAAAAATTTAACAATTAAAATGCTTATAATCACAACTTGGAAGATGTTTTGGAAAAATATTATTAAAATAAAAAATATTTACAAAAACAAAATTAAAATTATTATAAAACACCAGTTTGCATGACTAAAATTACTACTACTCCATATAATAATAATAATTACATTAAAGATGTCGCATTTTTTGTAATCATAGTTTTTCAATTTGGAAAAATATCTATGTTTGTACGTTCTTTGTTATTCAAATAAAGGGCAACTTGGTGCACATTGGTGAGGCATTCGCACCACACGGTGTATAAGGAGCAACTGGCAAGCATTCCTTAACACCACTGTGCAACAACGCTGCCCGTCTCAACAAATATAGAAGTAAGTAATTTTTTCCAATAACCTACCTACTTTGTATGCTAACAAAAACAGCAAGAACGTACGAAAGCGGTAGAGCCTAGCGGTCTTTTTTGTCTAGTGCTTTATGCACCGTTTCTTCGTTTTTTGCAATATCTATGGGTAGTTCACTGCTTTGGAGTCTTGGAGTGTCACGGTTAAAGGATGAAGCGGATAATTGCATATCGACTAATTTGTGCCGCTTGTGCTCAACTCCTTATGGTATTCCTACAAGGCTACAATCATAGATCTTTTTTCATAAAAAATATCATCTCATAAATCTCATCTTTGGTGACACCAATTGCCCCCCACCCACCTACACCACCACCACTAAATGGGTGGGCTGAAATCAATTTTGTTCACCCTCTCAAATGGGGTGATGTTCATGGTTCACCCCACTCTTAGTTCCAGGCATTGTGGTATATATGTCAAGTGTGTATTATTTGATCATTGTTATACCTTTTAGGTTCAAAATATATATATTCCCTCCGTCCCAAAAACATACTTCTCACATTGACTTGGCACACAAATTAAGGAAGTGAGAGTAAAGTGGAAATGTATGATTGCAGTTGTGTAAGAAAAAGTAAAATGAATGCGAACCACACAAATTATCCAAAAATGATAAGTGAGAAGAATTTTTTGGGACGGCCAAAAAAGAAAAATTGGAAGATTTTTATGGGACGGAGGGAGTATCAAATTTATGGTTTTTATGATCTTTTATGCTACTATACCTCCGTTCCGTTGAAAGGTTCACACGACAAAACGACATGGTTGTTTAGACAATAATTAAATATTTAAGGTAATTTAGGTATATTTTGAGAAATGATTTTAATAGGTATATAGTATAATGGGGTTAGAGTTGATAATTGAGATGTTATAAATGTATTGTTTTTTATATTTAATGATTAACTTATCATTTAAGATTGTCGTTAATTGTTTCCTAAAATAGAAATGAGAACTTTTATATTGGACGTCCAAAAAAGGAATGTGAGATCCTTTCTATGGGACGGAGAGAATATGTTTTTAATATTGTATATGTAAAATTAAACAAAAATCAGGCTAAATGAGATAGTTAGGAAAATGGTTTTTCTTGAAATTTATCATATGCAATATTGGTACCATTGGAAAAAGCATAAAATTTATTAAATCATGTGTTTTTTTAATAAAAATTGGATCACAAATAAAATAGTTATTACAATTTTAAAAATGAATTGTCATATATGCCACGTGACAAGTTTGGATGAATGAGGTGAACAAAATGAGATCAGACTCCAATAGATTGCATGGTTTGCACCAGGAAATTAAAGATGTGCTATGGACTGATTTGCATCTCACATTGAGTCATTGATAGGTGTAATGAATTATGAATTGATCTCTTTGCCCCAATAAAATCTTATTAGTGTCATGCAATTAAAATTTGCTTAGCAAATTCATTAATTAGATGCTCCATGTCACTTGAAAGAGGGAACTACACTATAATACGAAATACTCCATACTATACATTACGAAATTTTGTTTACGATTATTTGGATCGATGATTCTTGGTCAGTCTTAGAGTGTGTAAGACTGGAAATAAATAGGAGGCCATGAACACCTCACCCCTAATCCACCATAGACAACTTCTTCTTTCTAGATAGAGATAAGGGTTAAATTGGACACTATGGTTATTTTTTAATCTCATATTGGCCGGCCGCTAAAGTTTCAAATGGATCAAATCAGACGCTACATTTACTTGTGAATCTCATATTGATCACCAAAATTTCATAATTTGTAGTTTTTATACGCTCACCTATGTTTCTCTTATTCCGATAATAAAAATCGGCAATCTTGTTTTTCTTTTACTCTTTGGTATTAATAAACTAATTTAATTGATGTATATAATTTAGAATATTTAAATTTAGATTTTAAAATATATAATTAAATTTTATTTAATAAATTCTTGAAGGCAATTAGGCAAT